CACAGTGGAACATGCACTGTGATACTTAAAAGTGAATTAAACATTTTCTTTAGATTTACAGACAGACTTCCTCAGCAAGACCCTTCCAGCAACAGAAAATAATTTTTTATGATATGCTTTTATGAAAAAGATAATGTTCTTATAAAAGGCTGAGTGCTAGATCTCACAACAAATAGATCTTAATGAAGAACATAATGGAAATATTGACCTTCTATATTGGTTTCAACTCACTGGATATGTAATAGTGCAGGCTCTGGATTTTGTTAATGATATTTCGCATGATTTCAATTACCCTAACTTCAATAAAAAGACTTACAAACTAAAAGAGCTATGGATTCATATTTTCAAATACAGTATCATCAGTTCACAGATTAAAAAAATTTGCAATTTACTGAAAATATAAAGTGTAATCAGCTGAAAATAAGCTTATTTGTGTCAAGTAGCACCCTATTTTTTGACTAGTCAGAGACTCCACAAGATAACTCAAAAATTGCCCAGCCCTGTTGAAGATACCAAAGCTTTCAACTGCAGTCTTCCTTATTAAAGGCATTTTGTAGATAAGAACTATAGGACCTAACAGGCATGCTGATTCACCCTGACTTCACGTAGACAATATTTCTACCATTAACAACTGCACCTAATATTATAGGCTGACAATTTCTAGAGCCAGTACATACTCAGAACAAAATGTATCAATGCATAAATGGTTTTCAGATTTTATGAAGTCAGAAATTAGTGTGTTTTGTAAGAAGAATAAATAATATGAAGATTAGAAGTAAATACCTGCCTCTCTCATCCTTCTGTTTTTCTAATCTTTTCTTCTGATTCTCTGCACTTTCACAAGGCAAGTCAAGTAACTATATTGTTTTTCCTGTTTATTTGAAAGAAGAAATTAAATAGTAATTTCAACACATGAATTTTTCCTCCTTGTCCTTTCCTTTCAAAAATCCTGCGTGTTTACCATTGACTCTGGGAAGCAAACAGTTTAGGCTGTTATAGCCCCTCTTCATATAAAAGCTGCTAGTTCAGGATGTGACTCAGCTAAAAACTTTATTTCTCTCCTTTTAAGAGTTTCCCAAAAGGAAAAAACAAACAAACAAACAAACAAACAAAAAAAAAAAAACCAAAAACAAAAAACCACTAATTTATCTTTCTGGTCCTGGCCTGCCTTGAAAATGCATGGAAGATTGAAAAAGCTGAACAGTTGTTAGGTAATTATTGATGTGAGGCGAAAAGGTAAATGGTTCACGAGATCCTAAATTAATATGAGGTGCAAGTTAGATAAAGATGAACAAACACACAGCATGTCAAATGTTTAACAGGCATTTGCCTGTTTGTACCAATATGCTTTCTAAATTGACAATTTAGTTGAACTCTGAATATGGAAAAAATGAAGGAAAGAAACAGGATGAAAGATAAGAGAATATAGGAGTATCTGGGGTGGAAGAAATCTTCCCAGACCTGAGACTGGTCTTACCATGGTATATGCACCTCAGACGCCTACAGATGTTCGGTTTGGGTAGCAGATCCTAAAGACCCAAAGCTACAAAGGTGGGAGACAGAATAAGAAAAGAAACTGAAAGAGAAAAGGATTATAAAAATTGAATGAGAGAAGGAAAAAAGCAGGAGAACACATAAATTAAGGCTAGGCATCCTGAAGGTTATTTTAAAGTATCAATTTCTTCCAGATCAGGCTCAAGTTCCATCCATACTGTCTGAAGTTATGTACACTGTGTCCACTAGCAGCTGGCATTTCAGAAGAAAGAGCGAGAAATTGCAAGTAAGCAGTAGTGAATAGCCACAGTTTTCCCTAATCTATTTGGTTTGATGCTGACTTATATCCTGAAGCATGATCTTGAAGCACTGATATCCCTTGCAAATCTTATGTTTATTTTTCAGCCCTGTCTCATTTCCCACAGAAATATCCACTTCCCTTTGAATCCCACGTGGCTCCTAGCTTCCACTGTATGTTGTGGTAATAAGCACCACATGGTAACTGTTCAGCTTACAAAAAAATCTTTTAAGTTTTTTGTCCTTTCAAAGTTGCAAGTAGGAGACACCTAAGAAGAGGACAATTTTTAAAAGTAACTGTAGTTCAGGGGCATGTTGTACATTAGCATTCCTCTCAGCATCACTTTATGCTCTTGTTTTGGGTGCTGTCTGGTTTTCTATCACAGAATTTCCTGTTTAGAAGGAGCTCCATCCATCTTCCCCAAGGGAAGATGAAATCCAGGCACAGTCAGCAACTTTTCTTTTTTAAAATAAGATAGCAAGCAATGCTTTTTATCCCACCAAACTATTTTAGAAGTACAGACTGAATAATATGATCCATAGAGATTATAACTAAAATGTTTTGCTAGACATTTGCAGTACCTGTTCCCAGGTGTTTGCATGGTATTTGTGTACATGTTTGCCCTCATATTTATGAAAATTTTATAAATTACACAAAGATGATTAAAGCAAGAATGGCATTCTTTGCTCTTCTGATTTAATTTGAAAAGTAAATGGAAGTTTATTGTATTGGCTATTAAATTGCTTGCATTAAATGTATTTGTACTGCCATCTTCTTGGTCTATAGGATTTCATCCCATTATCTGGAGAGATTCCCAGTTAAATGTCTTTGGTGGATGGTCAGAGGCTGGGCTTTGGGAGGAGAAGGGAAACAGTGTATTCTTTACAAGATTTGTAGAAAAGGCATTTTTGGTTTACATGGTAAGTCATAAACATAAATCAACAAAAGTTGCTTAAAATAACTCAGAGATGGAAATTCATCTATATCACACTGCATAATCTGGCCCCATTTTAGAGGGCAAAGGAAAGGGTCAAAGCTTTGAAGACAGATCTAGAAGATCTGGGCTGAAGACTCAATGTAATTTTTAGCACAGCAAGTAGCTGATTCGGCTGTTCTGAATATACTTCATCCTACTATTTTAAGTCTATGCAACATCAAAGACACATTTGCAGGTACAGTCTTGGAGAGCCAGCCACTTAAGACACCACAATAATGTCACTTGGTGTGTAGGGGGAGGTTAAAAGGAGGATTAAAAGCAGTCAGGCACAATATATTAAATGAATCCATGACTAACAGGGTGTGACAGCAAAGGGTTTCATTCTTTTCAACAGAATAGATCCCTAGGGCTGGAAGAATTACTCCACTGTGCCTTTATCACCTTGGAATTTTTATGGTTATTTTTGATGAATTCACGTTTTTGTAAAGATTTTTAAGACATTAAGCCAATTTTCACTTTTAATTAAAGTCATAAATAACCTTAATTCTGCATTAAAAGGTTTATTGTTTCTTACTTTTTATTATTATTACTGACAGGAAATATTTCAAATACCAAAGCATGATGTTAGTTAGCAATTATAAGTTCTCAAAGGTCCAGTAACTATGCTGTGCCTTGTAAACATTATACATTGCAAATTCTATCGTTTTTGAGGAGGTTTGGCTTATTTACCCTTTCAAGTATCAATGTATCTCAGGTGACCAATGAGCCTAAATAAATCCTTATCAAACAGAGATGTAAAAAATAAGCAATTTTAAGTCTAGAATGTGCCCATAGAGAGTCAAGCAAGGAGTAAAAGGGGCCAGGTTTAAACTGTTTGTCACAAGGAAGGAACGGAAAATAAGCGAAATCAAATAGTGAATGAAATGCAGGAAGGAAAATCCAGCATAGTATTGCAATCTGACAAAATGAGAGAAAGGAGGTAACACATTATTTCACTTTCAATTACAGTAATGTTACAGTGCAGTTTAATATCTGTTTTCAGGTTCGTTATGCCAGTTCTAGTTGAGGCATCACACACAAATTTGTCAGAATGGAATGTCTGGATTGGCATTTACTTTACATGCTTGTAAAAGACAGTGTCTGGGTAGCTCAGTTGCTCTCCTGGGACAGGCAGGACAGGGCTCACAGACCTCCTTTGGCAGTCCTGCATGTGGGCAGCATGCACAGAAGCAAGGGAGCCAAAGCACTACTTATTAAGGTTAAATTGGATGCTCAGTTACTTCATCTTTGATATAGGAGTGGGACTCATAAGTTTATGAGAATACTACAGAGCACTTCCTCAGACGCTGCTATGAAGGTCTCTGCTGCCATGTCCTGCTTCAACAAACCACTCAATAAAAACTTACTCTTCAAATTTGAATACTGTAGCTTTAAAGATTGCCACTTAATGCTTCAAATCCTGTACAAGGCATTTTTTTTTGCTACTTTCTAGGAATGCATGTGCATTTAATTTTAAAACTTCTAAACTATTACTTGATTTACATAGGGCTGATATCTCAAAGGTTTATCTACCCTTTACCAGTTCATGCATGTTCCCCCTTTATCAGAACCAGCTTCCTTTAAAATGAAAGCTTAGATTTTTATCCTCGGTGCTCTAAACAATCTGATGATATAGTGCCAGTGATTAATAGTAGGTATGATGAAAAATGCTCAGAAAAAAAATAATCATTCCCTTAGGTCACAAACCAGATCTTCAAAGATGTGCTTATACATATAAACAACCATTGACTCATGGATTTGACATCCACAGGGAACCAGCATTGTGAAATGTCTTGATATTTGGAAGCATCTGCCATATGGAAATACAATTTAGAGCTTAGTCTCACATACTGTCCATCTGCCCTCAAAATCCATCCTTCCATTTGAGACTGGCCATGTAAACTGGATTTTGCATTACTATCTATTTACCAGTGGCAGAACTTTAAAAACAAAAATTTCAATTTTCAAAAATTATTATTTAACTTGTTATGTATGTTTAGTGATTAATCTTCACATCAGAAAATAAAAAGCATGAATGCCAGGCAGCCTCATTAAGACAAAGATTAAATTATCATTTATATAAGAACCATATCTATTATTTTCCATTAACAGGTTTTCTAATCAACAGTCTGAAATCCACAGAGGCACTTGAAGACGCATTGAAACGTCCAATATTAGAACACTGACTTTTCCACATAAGCTTTACACCAGTCAACACAGGAGAAAATCTACCTTTTTCCTGACTTGTTGGTCTTTGCAGGAATGGGCTTTCACGTGCTTCCTCAGGGAACTTGGATCTGTGTATCGTTTAGTACATCCTGGAATCTGACATGCATAAGGTTTCTAAGTCAAAAAGAAAAAGAATAAAGCAGATGTTATATCACAGATTATTTTAACTCAGGAGAATCTCTTTTGAGCCCTGGGATGCTGCAAACTGCATTACTACAGCACACAAGTGTTGTACATTATTACATGCAGAATGCTCGGTAGAAGGGGAAAGGATGACAGTAAGGCTTATAAGGAAGACAAATCAAAGGAAAGCTTTCATTATGGCACCTTTCATTGTTACCTTTTTTTTTTTTTAATCAGTACAATGAATATTGCTAGTTATACTCACAATTCTTCCACCCTCAGAGCAATCTTTGACTTAATCAGAAATTACATTCTTTAGTGAATCAGGTAAAGAAACTGCAGTAAAGGCCCAGATAGACTGTTTAGGATTATAGAAGAATCTGCTTCAGAAAAAGAGAACAAGAAAAACTGTTAGTTTGCTATATTACAAAGAGCAAGCAAAAACCAAAGCAAGCACTGAATACTGAAGTTTCAGAAATATTGTGCACAAAATACTCATTTTAATGTGAGGCTCAAGACAAACTCCTTCAGCTCACATTTTTTAATAACACATCAATTAGAAAGATACTGTTCCTGTAATACCTTTATAATTGTCTTAAAAGAAAGTTCAATAAATCTAACTCACCAAATAAATATAAATATCTACAAATATCTCTTTCTGCCTGCTCTTTTCTCTCTTCCCTGAAGACCTGTAGATCCTCAATACAGAATATTAAATGAACATTAGGTCTGCCTGTTTGCTAGAATTATCTATTCTGCAGTTTCACCATTTATGTTTCACAAAGCATTTCCAAAAACACCTTGTACAAATGATTAACTTACCAACTATATTACGGACTATTTGAAATGGATGATTTAAGTTTTGTGACAGTCATTTAATTCAAATGGCATGGTTCTTATTTTCTTTCTGAACTTCTGCCCTTTGAAAAACGCTTGTCTTTGATGAAACTATCTTTTGTTATGAAACAGAAGTTTTTTAAATGAATCTCAGCTGTGACTCAAATTCACAAGCAACAATTTGTTGTCATGAAAATTTTTTAGATTTACAAAATTATTCTTCCTCTCTTGACTTCTTGGTACATGCCCCAACCTTATTTTTAACTGAGTTTTTGTCAGAGAATAGCAGTTACTATTGTAGATGGCTTCTGTGTCTTTGCATAGTGACAAGTTCCCTAAACGTCACATAAGTGGAGGAAAGTTACTGCCTCTGCCTGCAGCAAAGCCCATGGAGCTGTGGCCTTTTTATCAACTGGTTTGGCCCATCGTTACCCATGGTTGCACTACCGGGCCACTTTGGAAACAGCGTAAACAGCCTCATCAGACACTCCTCCCTCCTATCTCTAAGGTTATGGACTACCTGCTGCCACCAAGCTGGAGGAAAGGAGCACACAGTCTAATGTATAGGGGACTGCAGTGGGACTTCTGCTTCCTTACAGTGTCCAGGTGTGTCCTCTGGTGCTTGGCACGGTCGCTGGAGTTGCTGAATGCTTTCTGGCAGCCAGGGTACTGACAGAGGTACGGCTTTTCACCCGTATGGCTCCTTAAGTGAATCTTGAGATTTTCTAGTCTGGAAAAGGCCTTCTTGCAACCCTCAAACTAGAAAAGAGAAGAAACAAATAGATTTGAAAGGAAAGCACACACAGAAAACTGCAACAGCAAACTCCAAGCTGGAGCCGGAGGGTGAAAAGAGGTCGTAGAGATGTCCTGCCTGTTATGGCTGGGTGCTGAGGAAAGCCTGACCATAAGAAACCATAAGAATGTATCCATCCTCCTTGAACACAGCTGAATTAGGAAATTATGCCCCATTCCCATCGTAGAGGTGGGACACTGAGACCCAAAGAGACCGGTCAGGTCAGAGCGCAGCACCCTTCAGTCCACCTGGGACACACAGCCCCAGCTGATTCTCCCAGCAGCACTCAGAAAGCAAATGGCCACTGTGGGATTCCCCAAGTCCTGTGCTATCCACTCTTATCTCAGCTCTGGACTTCTTTGGGTATTAGCAACTGAGACAAACACAGGCACCTCTCAGTAGCAACCCAATCTACAGAGCGACAAAGAAATCATGCAGGGAAATGTCAGTCTGCTTTGCCTTGCTGATGCTGATGTAAAAAGTAGAATAATTTCTGAAATATTTCTTTACCTTTCTGCCATGAGTAAATGTGTGAGGTACTAAAAATAATGGGAGCACATCAAAATAGGATTTAATCCCTATGGGTAACCAATAATCATGTGGCAGAGTATTTCTACACTTAATGAAGTACTGCCTCGGCAGAGAAAGATGTGTTTTTATGAGCAGAAAACCAACTCTTCATCTATCATGTTCCCATAGTATACTATATCCTAAAGGAAACTAAACCCCATCAGTTCTATCTGACACCAGCATTTTTATGTACACTCAATTTCAGTTAGACTTGAATATTTATGAATATTAGCTAGAGTATAGGCTTTTTTTAATTCTATCAGTCAAGATCAATTAATCTCATTAGTTTCAGCTGCTGCATATTCCACTGTGCAACATCTAAAGCATCTGCTGAATAACATGCTAGTTCACAGTTCTTGCATACTTGCAAAAATAATGATGCATTAACAGAGGTGTCAAACATTTCTAATGCTAACACAAAATTTTCCACCATTTCTCTTCTGATTCATTTTACTCACTTGAGAAGAAATGGGCGGTTTTTCACTGATGCTAGAGTAACACAAACAAATTTTATAGTATGTTATTCAGTGCATGTATGTTTACAAAAACTCAGCTAGGAAAACACTAACACAATTCTGATTGCAATTAGCATGGCCTTCTTACAAATCTGTAAGACCATCTAAAAGATAAAACAGGATATAAAATTTTCATCACTTAATTTTAAGCACTTCAGATTTTTAGATTAATGCAAGAGAGAGTTATAACTTCAAAGAATAAATTGCAGGAAGCAAATACTGGAAAAAAAAGCAGTTTCAGCCTCCACAAACTGAGGAGGCTGAATTTCTGTGCAGAACTCCCTAACAGCTTTTGTTTAGTTTTAGCAACAGAAGGTAATGTACACTGAATGTTGCCTACGAAAACACAGTTTACAGGAGAAAATAAACATTATCTATAAAATAGAAATATTATAATTAACCTTAAGAAATTAAAGTTTGAGAAAGAGGATGAACCACCCCCCACTATATCAGAACTGTAATTTTATCTTTCATACACATCAATTTCAGAAAATTCCACAACTCGTGAAGCTTTTTATTTATATCCCATCCCTTTATCCAAAGCAAAGCCACAGTACTTTTCAGATTATCCAAATCTAATCACTAAAAATTAATTTATGTTTGTATTTACAGTGTTGACTTTATGAAGGTTTAGTGTGCAAACAAAACATTGTTGCAAGTGTAAAAGTATTTTCAGTTTTAGGGAACTATTATTAGAAAATATTCCAGGATAAATTAAAAAAAAAAAAAAAAAAAATTAGACAGATATCTCTTACAATTGCCTGGATAAAATTATAACTTTTTTTTTTTAGGAAAAAGTAAAGAGTAGAGAAAGCATAAAAAACGTGAAAGATAAAAGCCTGATATAACAAGTAGCCTTTGAAAAGCAAAATAATTCAATAGCAGTTATGTTAAAATAACAAAGAAACCTACTGATTAACCCATCTTACGTAGACAAGTTATTATTTCTTGTTAAATCCATGAAAGAACAACCATCCATTCTAATGACAGTAACTACGCTGTTCATAAGTATGAAATAAATTGTAGTATCTCAAGCAAAATGCAATTTCATAGAGTAAAACTTGGCCCAGTGAAAAAGTTCTAAAAGCAGGCCCTCTTTTGTTTATCCCACAAGTTACAAAACTTCAAATCTTCAAGCATGCAAACAAAATCAAACATGTGTAAACAATTGTCTATATGATTGTAAAATTAGCATTGAATTTAACTGGGCAAAAATGTTCAACTGAGAAGAACTGGGGAATATTATCTTACAAATTTTAAAATTGTGATTTCTGAAGACTCTTGCATTGTTGATCATAACTTGGAAGCAGAGAGGATAGTCTGAAGTTTTCTCTCCCCTCTACAGTCCTAAATTAATGTGTGTCATATAGTTGTGTACTGCAGAAAAGGTCATTTTAGCAAAACATAGAAACTACAAGGCTGTATTATGAGAAAGAGCATCTTCACACAACAGTTAATGAATGGTTACTCTAAAAAACAGACTTTCTGAAGCCTTGGGGATCTCTGATGCTGAAGATAAAATAAAATATATTATTTCCAACTACAAAGAACATATATTCTTTCCTGATAACCAGACTTCAGTAAAAGCATTTCAGAAAAGGCATGATTACCTATGGGGAAAAGAAGTCAGGTAGACAGCAGTTGTATTTTGAAATTGAACTCTTTGTAGTTTCTAAGTTACTAACCATGGTAGAAAGTGAGGGTGTAACACCTTTATTACAATTAGTCATTTAAGTACATGTCATGCATTTGGCATTCTGAAGCTGTTTAACACTCCTGAACATACTCTTGATTAAACTAAGGGGTTTTTTTTTAATTATGTGGAATTAATTGTGCAATGTTTTCCTAAACTGCAATACAGAAATCATACTTACTGAGCTTTTATTTGTATTGTTGCATGCAAATTGAAACTGTTCAGTAGCTCAATTTCTTGTCTGTACTTCCTCAATGGGAGTTCTTCTTAAAACATATTAATCAAAGTGTTCATATCCATGTTTACTTTATCTTTTTATATGGATATTTGTCAAGAGCAAGAAACTATATTTGCAGTGAAAGGTGAAGTATGTCAATAAAAAGCAAAAGCAGTGCTACAACTTTAAAACACGTGTTCTCGTGAGTGTACTGTTCATGTTTGTATACACAGAGATGGTGCTCAGTGTATCAGGCAACCATCCTGTAAAATTACAATATAATTACATAGATTTATATAACATAATCTGTGCAGCATGTAAAGACCTGATGGATGCATCATGCACTTCTGATCCCTTTCTGGAATTAGACAGCAACCTTCATTATGAAACACATTTAGACTCCTACACAGGTGGGAACATCATGGTAGTCACCCATGTGACTACCTTAAAGTCAGTGGCAGATATTCAGTGACCAAGTGTTTAAGAAATTAGTCAGTTTTCACTGTAAAAGCTCTGATTATCTTAGTCGATCACTGGTGTACCAAAGACTGAAGACCTTGCTCCGGCAAACAACATCTGGATGAGATCTGATCCATTCACAGAAAAGCATCTAGTCTCGATTTTAAAAGTCAGTGGCAGCCCAGCTTCCTCTTAATCCAACTATTCCCTAATATTATCTGTATTAAAAATCTTCACTTTTTCCTATCTGAATTTGTTTTCCCTCACTATCCAAATAGTGTACTTTCTTTTGTCTTTTTCTGCTATATTAATGTGGTAAGTAATGTAAAAGATAACTTCCAATTCTAGGTATTTTCTGTTATCAAGTCACAACTTTCTCACTAATAATTTATATATATATAAAAGAATTATTTGCTTTCTCATTATGAACAATGTTTCCTCAGACCCACTTTGAAATTGATTCTAAAACAAAACAAATAAAATTAAATCCTTTTAGGAATATTGACATGAGCAGTATTCAGTTTTACAGTAATGCTTCATCCAATATACAACATAATGTTATTGTCCTCTTCTGATACTTTCACATTTTGGCTTTTAATATCTTTTTTTTTTTTTATTCAAATCAGTTATACCCAGTTATCCTCAAATATTTTTCAGCATCATGGCATTTGGGGGAGGATCATCTTTTATTTTTAAGTGTGAAGAATAAGCGTTTCCCTAGTCTGTTGCCATATGTGGGGAAATATTTATGGGGTATTATAATGAATATATTTCACTACATGTTCTCAATATGGTCTCTCTCTAAGGTTACGGGGAGAGGGGTGTTTTTCCTTTCTAAATCTGACTTTGCTAAACATCAACTTTCCTATAACCATTAAATTGCAACAGCTGGCTTTCTGTGTATCAAGAGCTAGCCAGTGTCCACACAAAGTCTCAAAAACAAACCTAGACACTTCAGTGACAGAATACATTTTGTTCTTCAATAAAATGGAATACATGCCTCAGGTAATAAGCAGAAGAGACCAAGAGGCTCCCAAAAGGCTGTGATCTAGGGAAATGATTGGATAAGATACATCCAAATGATCTCAGAAAGTCAGCTGTGACCTATGCTTGATGCAAAGGTGAAGAACTGTCCAAATCTCTGCCAAACTGACTTGGAGGAAAACAACCCAAACCTACATATGCACCCAGGATGTACTAAGCAGATGCTTGAAATATGCTCCTATACAGTTGCAGAATACCAGTTCATTTGGTTTAGTAGCCTGTTCAGCCATGGTGAACCTTTGATGATGCAAAAGGAAAGAAAAAAGTGCACCCAGAAACCAGCATACACACCAGAGGGTAGAAATTCCTCCCTGACTTTACAAGATCAACAAGAAGCTTTACCCTAGCAAACACGCTTTCCATGAAAAAATGTTGAAATAATCAACATCTCTACCTTTCATGTCTTTTCTTTATTAAACACAATGGATACTACTTCTGGTCCAAGGACACATGGCATCATAACAGTGT